GGAAACACTTTCGGCACTGTCCCCATGTAGCATGCCGGACACACCTCAGCGACAGCCCACGGGAAGAGGTGCACAGGGCCGGACGTGGGGAGGGGGTGGGGCTTCCGTGCCCTCTCGGGAGACACGCTCACCTACCTGGGCGCCCCCGAGCCTGTGGTCAGGGGTTCCACGGCCCTTGTCGCTCCAGGGCATGGGAGCGGGTGGGGCTGAGGTCTCCAAGCCTCTGACCATGGCTCCTTCTTCCTGATGACAGCCCCATCCAGGAGCCACCAGAGTCACCTCGTTAGAACAAAGGACACCTCATCACCCAGGAAGGCCTGAGGAATTTAAGGGGCTGTGTGTCAGCAGCCCGTGTTAGAGACCAAATGTCTGTTTTGTCACTTCACACCATGTAGTCAGCTTGATCTTTTTCTTAGTACCCTTGTGACTTGTGCTTCTGGTGTGCAACAAGCGTTTCCCCTGTTTCCAGGCCACAGATGTTTTTCTGTGTGTTCCCTTGTTCCCTTCGAGGTTTTCAGACTGTCTAGGATCAAGTTTCTCAAGCTTAAGTGTGCAGGTGACTCAGCAGTGGTGTCACTGAGGCCCAGACGTGTGGAATCCGCCTTAGGAGATCAGAAGTGGCAGGTCCGGGCTGGGCCCGCCGGAGCTGCGGCCGTAGCTGGCGTCTGTGGTCCCCCCGCGGGTGCTGTCGGGAAAGGCCATGGGTCCCCTCTGCAGCCGTGAGCCCATCTGCCCTGCCGTCGCCGCCCTTCCTCGTGGTCCTGTGTTGCCTGTGAACGTTCCCTTCCCTGCCTTTTCAGAACAAGTTCGTGCATTCTCCGTGTGTTGATTGGAGTTTTGACGGGATGTCATTGAGTCTGTAGATTAAATTTGAGATGACTTGACATCGTGGCGTTTCTGTCATCCGTTGAAGATCGTGCAGTGCTTTAACTGAGTTCTTTTTCCCACAGAGGTCTTCAGCAGTCTTGGTTAAAATCTGTATCCCTCACGGTTTCGCCTGCTTTTGCGAGTGGCACCTTGTTCTTTCCTCGTGTACGTTCTCGTTCATGCTGGGCTGGAAGAACGCTCTTGAGTTTCGTAACTCGGTTTTCGATTCAGCCGTGTGGCTGCACTCGTCTGTCTTCATTACGAGTCGATTCTGCCTTTAAGCGTGACTGGCTGCGCCATGGCGCGGAGCAGGACGGTCCCGCGTCGCACCCCTCCGTCTCGACCCCGTGAACCTCATCGCTTTCTCTTCCTTGAGTCACCAGTTCTTCCGTTTTCGTGTTAACACTTGTGGTGTTGAGGGACGTCCTTTGGTTATTTCTGATCTTAGTGGAATTCGCTGCGTAATTCTGAACGAGCATATGTTTGCTGCAGATTGTGGTTTATCACTTTCAAGTTAAGTTTCCACCTATTCTTTTTTTGCTAAGCGTTTTAAAAAAATTAATAGCTGTTTATTCATTTGAAAAGTATTTATTGTGTCCTATTCTGTGCCAGGCCTGCTTCTCTGGTCAGGGCATAGCAGTGAACAGACAGACAAACCCTGCCCTCGTCGACCTCGCATTCTAGGGGTGGAGGGACAATAGATACGATGCCTAATGAAGCTCGTTAGGCGAATCCTGTAGACGATAGCGATGGTGAGTGGCGGTCACGGAGCTTTCTGCATCCAGCGATGTCATCGTGGTGTCTGCTCTGGTCAGCGAGGTTGGCTATGTTTGTGCATCTTTCGATGTCAAATGCGTTTGTTTATGACGGGTCCCAGACAAGGTCTGCGGAGTTGTGTAGGAGCCTGAGCTCGCACAGAGGATACGCTCCTAGACCAAGGCTTGCTAACGGCTCCGGCTGATAGAATGATGCACAGCCTTTTTTCTGGGTTCGTTACCCATTTCTTTAAGCCGGGTTCTGTAAGCTACTTCTGAAGGCGTGTTTTCCGCCTCTAAGTCATGCTCGGTTATTTCGCAGTGGTCTGTTTATTTCTGGTGGCCGTACAGACCTGCACCATGTCACACGGTTTGAAATCTTGAGAGGAGTTTGTTTTGTGCTCTGATCTTGGTGTATCCCTTGCAGCAGGACTGTGCGGTGACACGTTTGGGCTCAGGGCAGGCTCCCCTTCTGAGGAGTTGGTCTTTCCCAGACTTAACCAACCAGCTCTCAGCATTGATGTCTAAGATATGTTGTGTTCAATCTGTGTGAACTTAAATGTTTGTGTGTGAAATAAAGTGACTTTTCCTGAGACAGTCTTATGTGAACCGTTGGGGAAGTCGTAGCCGTTGAGTTGAGGTGCCCGACAGGGCAGGTAGCAGCCACTGACGTGTCTCCTCTCTGTCCACAGAGGTCTCCATGGCCGCAGATGAGGGCTCGGCGGAGAAGCCGGGAGGAGAGGCCTCCGTGGCCGCCGACAGGGAAACCAACGGGGCCTGTGACAGGAGCGACGCCGGCAGGCATCTGAGCGCAGGGGAGCTCACTCAGGAAAACGCGAAAGCCAGCCCCCAGGAAGGTCCCAATAAACTAGCCCGGATAGCGGAAAACGGGCTTTCAGAACGAGACGCGGAAGCGGCGAAGCAGAACCACGTGGCGGCTGACGACCTCACGCAGACCGCCGTCGTCGGCAGCAACGGCTACTTCCTGAGCCAGCCAGCCCTGCCGGAGCAGCCTCCGCGCGTCACCAGCACTTTGGCCTCTTCTCTCCCCGGCCATGCTGCGAAGACCCTTCCTGGGCCCGCCGGCAGAGGGAGGACTCCCAGCGCCTTCTCTCAGATGCCCGCCGCGGTGCCCGCCAAGCCCGGGGAGGGGAGTAAGGACACGGAGGACAGGAAGCCCGCGGTGCCGGGCACCGATGTCAAGGTTCACAGGGCACGGAAGACCATGCCGAAGCCCGTCCTGGGCCTGGTAATGCGCCTCCGTCGGGACGGGCTGCTGTCGCGTCTGGCTTGTGGTCTCCTCTGTCCTCTCTTGTCGTAGTGATGGCAGATGGACGTCTGTGCGTTAAGGAGAAGAGTTGGTAGATAGCAGTGGTCACCTGACCGGTGGTCACCTGTAGGCTGTGAGAGGCTGGGTGATCTGCTAACAGTCCCCGCGCAAACGGCACGGTGGGGGCCCGTCTCGACCTGCCCTCGGTCCCCAGGTGCCCACTGCCCGCTGAGTGAGGCCGCCTCAGCGACCACTGCTCCCGGCCCTGCACGCCCCCTCCTCACTGGGAGATGAGTACACAGCGTGGGTCAGGCCACGGTGACATGGAAGGGGGGGGCAGGGACTGCACGGAGGACAGAGCCAGGCTCTGTCCTTGCACCAAGCCACCTGGCTCCGGGTGCGGCGCTGAGAGCGGGCAGCACTTTCCTGATGTCTGCTGAGCCTGTGGGCCGCGGCTGTCCCCCGGCCTGCGTAGGATGCCATCCCCTGAGCATCTGCAGGTCGGGTCGCACTGCTCTCCTGGTTCGTGCTGGTTGGGCGTGGGGCGGATCCAGGCATGTGGTCGTGTTCCCTTGGGATTTTTGTGCCTGGCATTGCGGTGAGCGTCTTGCTGCCCATTGTCCATAGTTAGGAGGTCGCCTGCGGCCCCCTCCTTGCAGCCATCACCCGGGCCCCGTGGCTCTGCCTGTGCGTCTGTCTTCAGCTCCAGGAAGGCGCCTGGACGGCCGTGCTTCCCGTGGCCTGGGAGCCGCTCCGCCTGTGCCCAGCCTTCTCACTCGCTCTTCTGCACGTGTCGTTTCTGCTGGTCATTCCATGTGTTGATAATTTCGATTTTTTTTTAATTTATTTTAAAAAAATTATTTATCTTTATTATGGTGACATTGGTTAACGAAATCTAGTAAGTTTCAGGTGTACGGTTAAACAGTAAGGCATGCATTGCATCATGTGTTCACCGCCCGTAGTTAGATTTCTGTCATCGCGTATTTGACCCCTTTTAGATAATTTTCATTTTGACAACTATTTTTTTCATGCCCAGCGTCCCCAGTTAGTTCTTGCAGTGAAGAACACTCTATCTTCTTAGTTGAGTTTTGTCTCACCCTTCCAAAGACATCGCTCACAGTTCTTTCACGCTCCTCGTGACATCTGCTGGCCCTCCAGCGGCTTCTGTTGGACGTGACCCCTCGGGGTGATTGTTCCCAAAGTGTGCACATCTTTGTCCCTGTGAGCTCGTATTGGAGCCAGGGCTGCACTGCTGCCTGCTGCCTGGGCGACGCCACCCAAAGTCCCCACAGCACCCGTGGTTTGTGTTTCCGGGGTAGCCGGGGCCGGACCGACTGTGCCCCCGGTGCCGGCCTTGCCTCCACTTGTCACTGTCCCCTGTACGCACCCATCCCCATGGCTTCTGAGTAAGTGCGGGTCCGCAGGGAGCCCGAGAAGGAGAACAGAGACCCCAGGAACATTCCGAATGGCAAGAGCGCAGTGTGGATTCGTGTGACCACCTGGCCTGCCGGGCTCCCATGCCGTCCCCGTCCCCCGGCCCTGTTGCCATCCCATCTCACTTCAAGCATTTGGCAAGGTGGAGTTCCAGAGCTGCAGCCTTTCGAGAGTGGCTCCAGCCTAGCGCAGTGTCCCCGAGACCAATTAAGTTATCGGCGGCCCGTCACCTTTTACGCCGAGGACTCTGTCAGTGAGTGTGGCCCAGAGCCCAAGCGCTCGCCCACGCTTTGGAGGGTGTCTGGGAGGTCCCGGCTTGTGGCTGTCATGTTAAAGCTGCTCTGGACGTTCACGGACACACTCTCCTTGGGACACAGGCTTAGCACCAGGCAGTGCGGGCGCAGGGCCACGCGCGACTGGACGCTCAGTGTGAGGCCAGCGGGCAGCCCCCGGCGCAGTCGCAGCCGTGTTTGCTGGGACACCTTGTGGTTCCATTTGAACTCCCCCGTTCACCGATGGTGTTGAACGTTTTTTTACTGCTTATTTGCCGTCTGCGTCTTGGCGATACGTCTTTTCTACCTTCTGCCCGTTTTTATAGCACATGTCTTGGGAGCGCGGCTGCGACTTGGGGTGCGAGCCCCCCATCAGGCCTGGTTTGCAGACGTCTTCTCCTCAGCCTCTCAGCAGCGTCGTGCACAGAGTAAAAACTCTTCATTTCGATGAAGTGCAGTAAATCAAAATTTTTTCTTTTATAGCTAGTGCTTTTGGTGTCATTTCTAAGAACTCTTCACGTAGTCCTAGATCCTGACATTTCTTTTTTTGTTAAAGATTGTTTTTACTTTTGTGTGAACTTTAAATATATCATTCCGTTTTGAGTTGGTTTTTGTATTAGATGTGAGGTTTAGAACGAAGTTCATTTTTCTTGCCCACCATCATCAGTTTTAAAATGCATGTGAGAAATTTTATATTATTTGTCTCCTTGAAATTATGCTTTTATTCCATTCCCTCTTCTAGGATTTTATTCTAATATGTTTTTATTCTTGAGGATCTTTGTCACTCTATTATATTATTCTAGGGATAAAGAAGCAATTTGAAATTAATTTCAAGAAACGTCTCTGACCATAAGGCTTCTCTGTGTTTGCCGTGATCTGAATTGAGATAGTATGAGTGTCGGCAGCTTGCGCCCTCCTGCAGCACGTGTCGTTTTGTTGGAAATTCCTCTGCGGTCAGTCTCAGGCTGGTTGTTTGTAGGGAAGAGGGCGGGAAGGTTTAAGAACGGCTTCCTGAAGGCTGAGGTGTCCCTGTAAACTGCCTGCCCCCTGGGGACCCCGTGGGGACAGGGAGGAAAAGGCCGGCCGGGATGCGGTGTCCTCCTTGTTTCCAGGACGCAACTTCACACCTGGCCTCTCTCGCCCTCGGGTTCCCTGACCCCCAAACGCAGTTTCGTCCTGTGGGGTTTTCTTAGGAAACCGAGCTTTGTCAAGAACCAGGTTTAAAACCATTGGAATGATGAAGTGGGTGCTGCAGGCTCCTGGCAGCAAACACATTTTCTCAGGGAGAGTGTGGAGACACGTTTGTCTTCACGGCGGAGCAGAGGCGGCTCGCTCCCCTGGACCGGCGTTGGTCCCGTCCGAAAGCACCAGCACTGGGCCAGGCTCATCCACTGTTTGGGCAGAGAAGGCGGAAGCTTCTGGAAGGGAACCTTCTTCTCTGCGTTGAGATGCTTGTTCCCGTGGGCTGCGTCGCAGCCTCGTCTCCTTGACGGAACAGTGCACGCTCCGGGAGGCGTGGGCACGGTGGCCTGTGGCTTTCTCCCCTGCATCCCTGTCCCCGCACACGCACTCTGGCATTGTCCAGGTTTTAGGGAAGCGACGGGGCCTCCTTGGCGCCCGGTCAGGAAGGAGGCAGCTCTTTATGCGGTGAGCGCAAATCCAGGCTCACGTGTGCCCGGAACTGCCCGGAAGGAGGTGCGGTGCGGGCTGCGAGGACTCACGCGTGTGGACGCGGGCTGGGCTCCCGCCAGGCCTGACTGTAGCCAGGGCGGGGCGTGCACGAGGACCAGACCTGCTCACGGGTGGTGACGGCGGCGTCTCTCTCTGCAGCCGTGAAGTACGTGCATCAGGTCCTCCCTGGGTGGGGTGCCCGGGACCCATCAAAGCCTCGGGTGACCATTGGAAGTCCAAGGCCAGCCACTCTGCCTCTGTGGGAGCCAGAGGTCGTCTCCTTCACCTTCTTCCTTCGTCAGATCCGAAAGCCCTAATGAAACGTAGGTTCTGCACCCAAGTTCAGTTCTCGTAACATCCTGAGTCAAAGGATGGGTGTTTCGTTCCTATGCGACTGTCAGCCTCGTGTGGCTGTTTCCACCCAGCTTCTACTTTCGCTCCTCGTCATGGCCGCTTTGGGCTCGGATTTTGCATTTGTCTACACGTGCCCGCTGAGGGGAGCCACCGCGGTTTGCAGGGGACGTAAAGGAGCAGCGTCTGGTTACTGTCTCCAAGCACGCGGAGCCACACCCGGCACGAAGCCTTTCCCACGCCGCGCTCCACTGCAGTGCCCTCTGTGCCGCCGGAGCGTCCTCTGTGGCGTTCACAGAACGGGCTGTGCTGGGAGCGAGGGCCGGTGGCGGGGGTGGCGTTCAAAGCCGCTGGACCCACCTGTCCTGACGACGGGCATGGTCAGTGAGCCCGCGAGGAGGTCCCCTCAGGGAAGCGATGAAGAATTGCACAGAGGTGTGGCCGCAAGTTCTTGCGTCCAGCCTGGGCCTCGTCCCTGATGGCGACTCCAGCAGATGGATGCCGTTTTTTTCAAATTACAGTAAAATACACTTGACATAAAACTGATCGTCTTAAGCAGGTGTCAGTGCACAGCTGGGTGGCATCAGGCACAGTCACACTGTGTGCGTGCGGCTGTCACCACCATCACCTCCAGGACTTTTTAATCTTCCTAAACGGAAACTTTGTCTCCATTAAACTCACTCCTAGCCCCTCTCCCAGCCCTGGCCCCACCGTCTACTTCCTGTCTCTGTGGATCTGACCCCCCTGGGGACCTCCCGTGAGTGGGGTCCCACGGGACGTGTCCTTCTGTGACTGGCTCGCTTCACTGAGCACCATGTCCTCCAGGTCCATCCACGCCGTGGCCGGTGTCAGGACTTCCTTCCTTTCCAGGCTGAGTGACAGTCCACCGTGTGGCTGGGCCCCGTCTGGTGGATCCTGTCCTCTGGGTGGACCCTACGGTGGCTCCCGCCCCTCGGCTGCTGGGAGCGATGCCGCCGTGGACACGGGCGTGCCGGCCTCGCCGGGAGATCCCGCTCTCGTCCCCGCGGGGTGGCCCCGGGAACAGGGCTGCCAGGTGGTGGCTCCACGTTTAGCTTTTTGAGGACCCGCCGCATCAG